TCATAAAACTTCTTTCTTGTCCTAGGTAGGAAATCGTTAATGTTGATATTTATAATCATCTGACAAATCTTTAGCGTGTCACAGATTTCTTTTCAACATCCCCAAATAATTGCTTAAGGGGAGGACAACAAAATATAATAACATTCTTTAAAGAATCATCATTGTTTTTCTCTTTACTTTCTTCGAATTTTTGACGTTCCCGCCCCCTTCTCCATCAACCCCCTCACCTCACTCACATACGCCACTGCGGACGCTGGTAGCGCACGCCACACCGCCGCGAAAGTGATCGGACAGTCGAACATAAATACTACGTCTCTCCTCTCGGCTCTCTTCTCTCCTCGCGCTTTTGTTACCCGAAGACTTCGCCGCGGCCACTTGTCATCTGAAAGGTCGTGGACAGCGGGACCATTACGGTCGTAGGCGGGGCAGGAAAAAGCATATATAAATGCTGACCGTCGCTGCCGACCGTACGGTCGTACGTACGACCGTGTGATGGAGTCGCCATCAGCCGCCAACATCAAAGTGATCAATAACTTTCACGGCGGTTAATGTGTAACGTTGTTTTTTTTTTTTTTTCGCTCTATATTCAAAACATCTCAATCTTTTTGCGGTCGTTATTACTCCGACATGATGAGCTGGGTGTGAAGCGGCTACACGCCAGGCCAAAGCCCCACGCCACGCCCCGCCGCGCCGCGTTGGAGGAGAGAGAGGAAGTGGACTGTGACGGACGGGTCCGTACGTCGGCAGCAGCTCACTTTGGGCCAAGTTCAAATCCCATCCTTCTGAAGGTCGGCGCGCGTGTAATGGGCGGAGTTCTGGGTGAGGGCGCCTGGAGGTCGGGCACTGTGCCACAAGTGCGGAGGTTCCTCTGCCCGTACCGTACCGATCATCAACAAAAAACAGGTTTGTACAATGCAGGCCATCTTCTTTGTAGCTTACGGAGAAATTTTCAAGCATTGTGTAACAAAACTATTCTTAGCAATAAGCTTGCGAATAAATAGTTCGTCTTGCAAAAAAAATCGTATTTCCATGATTTTGAAAAGAAATGCTATGCAATACGAAGAAATTTAGAGATTTTCTCACAATTGTGAGTTAACGTTATTGCTAATAAGAATTTGCTAATGTGAGAATTTTTTAACTTGGTCACATCGCGCCGTGCAAATGATTAAGAACAAATTGACCTTGAGACGATCTTGTAACACTTTTGGGGCAGTATGTGACATGGCTTGGATGCTTCTTTTTTCAGATGAATTTGGCACAATTTCTTAGACTCAAGTTTTGAACTGCATTGAAAGGACGCGCAAAAGAGAAAAATTGTCCCATCCATTACATTAAGATATCAAGAAATGCATCGGCAAATATTTATAATTTATTCATGAAAGCATGCGAAAACGGTGTGGTGAGTGGTGTAGGAGGAAAGCGCTTATTCAAAAAGGAAAAAGAGCTTGAGCAGTGAAGGCGCACGCATCATTCAATTCTGTCGCGTCTCGACCCGACCCCCGTCCCGCGCCATCAGGCGCCGAGCAGCTCCCTGGCCCGCTGCTCGACCCGACCCCGGCCCAATTGGCAACACGTTAAGGCGGTGTGCCCGGTGTCAGGTGCCATCAGCGGCGCGGCCGGCCCCGCCAATCCTTTATTATTGTGGAGTGTGGGCACAGCAGCGGCGGCAGCCGACTCAAGGCGAGGTGCGGCGAGGAGGCGATGCAGTCCTTGGCGTCAAATTATCTCTCCCCCGAGCGCGAAGTGCCTCCCACGCTGCCCAGCAATTGACAGCCGATCATAAGAAACATCAGCGGCGGTGCCGCGCTGCGCTGACTGCAGCGCAGTGTTTGTAATTGGCGCCGAGCAGCAGCAGCAGCGCAAAGGGGATAATGACGGCGCGGGGAGGTGGAGGGGAAAAGAAATTTGACCTAATTTAAATATGCGCGCGCACGAGGCGGGCAGAGCGCGGCGCGGAGCGCGGCGCGGCGCGCTCGTGCGGCCACACCACACGGGACGTGCGGACGAGCTACACATAAAGGGTCCACCAGCATATCGTATAGAGAAACTGAAAAGGGCTGCTTTGGGTACACTTTTTAAAAAAAGAGACAAATCCCACAGACATTAATGAACTTGCAGCAGGGTCACTCATCCTTCATTCTAAAATAAAAAGAGACCGTTTTAAATTGTGTTTGTAATGTTGTTTAAAAGTGTTTTGATCTTTAGCTTTAGTGCTTTAGTTAAATATAATGTATAGAGGGTATACTCTACAGAGTTTCAGAAGATGACACTGTACTTTTTGAGTTACGCACAGAATAATTAAACCATGGTTTAACACCGACCACATTGGTTTGTAAATTTCCCCACCAGTGGGCCGGGGATTTCCTGGCTATTTGGGTGTGTAAATTTACCACTAGCTGGCAAAGGAGCGCGGGGAGGGGAAAATTCCCTCTAATTTTTTTTTTTTACAGTGGCATAAGTTGCAAACAAATGTGTCACGTAGGATAAAAGTAAGAGTTTGATTTGCCAGCACCGAAAAGTGTGTTGTTGAAGAATGTTATAGACCTATTTGAGAGGGTAATTGTTGATACTATTTAGTAAAATTTGACAGGCACATTAATTGCGTTTCGTTCGGACTTCAGAAATAAAGAAAAATAACGAGCAGATTGGGGCAGATAATATTTCAATTTAACACATCTAGTTAATTGTAATTTATTGTAACTAATAGACGTTGAAGGCGTTATGCATTTTGAGCAACCGGTTGGTTTAAAACTTATTTGATTTTTTTGTTTTTAGTCTAGCCACAAGCAATCACAGACATTACTATAGTGGCTGGCGGCGGTAGGCACCGGCTGCAGCAGCAGCAGCACCAACAAAGGTGAGAGGAAATCGAAAGGAATCGGAAAGAATAAGAGAGAGAGACGCAAAGGCTTCTCCCTTACTCTAAAGGTCGGGCGAGAAGAGGTCAGGAGCAACAAAACGTACAATTATTTGATGAACAAGGCCCGGTCGCGCGCGCTGCCCTGCCCTGGTCACGGCCGAGGTAATGCCCCACTACCAGTTTGTTGTACTAGTTCGGCCCATCATCCTCCACTCACCTCCTATCCGAAATGACCGTAACAGCAATCATATACTTCTGGCTCTATTACCTATCCCCCTCCCCTATCCTCTTTCTCCAAGGGGGTGGGGGCTTTACCCCTCTCCTTCGTACATTCGATGTGCTCGCTCATTCACTCACACACACTTCTACTTGGGGACCTTAACCTCATCACACCTACTGTCTTGACCCCCCCCCCCCC